CACCTGGGCACACTGCTGGCTCATATTCAGCCGGCTGTCAACCAGTACCCCCAGGTCCTTTTCCGCCAGGCAGCTTTCCAGCCACTCTTCCCCAAGCCTGTAGCGCTGCATGGGGTTGTTGTGACCAAAGTGCAGGACCCGGCACTTGGCCTTGTTGAACCTCATGCAGTTGGCCTCGGCCCATCGATCCAGCCTGTCCAGGTCTCTCTGTAGAGCCCTCCTCCCCTCAAGCAGATCAACACTCCCACCCAGTTTGGTGTCGTCTGCAAATTTGCTGAGAGCACACTCAATCCCCTCATCCAGGTCATTGATAAAGATATTAAACAAGACTGGCCCTAGAACTGAGCCCTGGGGGACACCGCTTGTGACCGGCCGCCAACTGGATTTAGTTCCATTCACCACCACTCTCTGGGCTCGGCCACCCAGCCAGTTTTTAACCCAGCGAAGAGTATATCCATCTAGGCCATGAGCTGCCAGCTTCTCCAGGAGAATGCTATGGGAGACTGTGTTGAAGGCTTTGCTGAAGTCCAGGTATACAACATCCACAGCCTTTCCCTCATCTACAATGCGGGTCACCTGGTCGTAGAAGGAAATCAGGTTGGTTAGGCAAGACCTTCCCTTCATGAACCCATGCTGACTGGGCCTGATCCCCTGATTGTCCTCCATGTGCCTGGTGAGCACACTCAAGATGAACCTCTCCATAAACATGATGAGTTAAGTTCATGCAGTTGTGAAATTAGAGTCCACTCGTGAGTGCGCTGTAAAACTCTAAAAATGCCACTGGCAACATGCACTTCTAAGGCTGCCAGAGAATCACTGTGCATCGATACGTGTTCTTATGACATAGAACTGGCATGCAGATAAGGACAGCTTTGGCTTCTTACTCCATGGAGCCTCCATAAGATCCTGGTGAGCAGTAACTGATACTCCCTCTTTGGATTTAGCGGTTATAAAGACCGATTAAGGTGCTTGGTTTTTTGTTTTTTTTTTCAAATTCCATGGTGAAAAACTGCGTGGCAGCCATCACCCCATGTGCAAAGAGTGGCAAGGACTCATGGCACGTATTGCAGTGCAGCAGGGAGTTATCCAGGGCGTTAGGAGATGTCCTCTTTAGCTCTGAGACAGCACTAAAGTTGGTGACCAGCGGCCCACGGGGGTTAGCGCTCCCACAGCTGGGATGGGCTGTGCAGGCGGGTGCTCCTCTGCTGTTACAAAGCCAGGCTGATCAGCTTGGCCTAAACCGCTGCTGAAGGGAGCGTTGCTGAAGAGAGCTCCCAGCGAAATGAAAGGGAGCTCTGTTGGGGTGCAGGGGAGGTGGGGTGTTCAGGCCACCTTTCTCTGCACATTTCACAACAGACAAAGGGCACGTCACCGGGGCTGAACTCAGCAACAGGCTCATGTTCAAGTCTTTGAAGCTAAAAGGCTTTTTCAGGTTAAAATCAAGAGCACTGTGCTGAGCTAGAACTAGAGCAGGACGCATGCCTATTCACCTCTGCACACACTATTGTATCTTGGCTCCTGTACAGCCACAGATAAATATTATCTGATTTACCCCTTAATCAACACCACAAAACAAAGAGCTTTAGAAATAAGGCAGCCCAGATCGGACCCACAGTTCATCTAGCCCAGCATATTGTGCTGGCCACGCCTGAACACAAGATGCTTCAGAAGAAATTGCTAGAAATCCTGCGCTAGGTAGGTAAGGAATAATCTGCCCTAACTACTGGATTTCCTTCCCTATAATATTAACACTCCGAAGGCTGAGGTTTGAACATACAAGCCATCTCCCGAATACTTCCCAACATCCTTGGTTTTGCGTATTTCTTCCTGAAGCATTGCTAACTTTTTCACCTCAATGACAATGTGACTGTACTTCCATGGTTTATTTACAGACTGAAAGCTATAAAAACCAGGACTGGACTGCTTGAAGCTCACGGTTAAGGTCCCAGACCACTAAGGTTAATGGCTCTCAGACACAGAGGAAGACACCATAATCCCACTATGTAATGGTGATATTGCTACCACCCTCCTCTTCCCAGACAAGAAGGATTTCCTCGCCCACGTAGAGGTACAGAGCCCAGCACAAGACAGCCACTGTTCACAAAGCCACCAGGAGGGGCTGGCTTACCGAAACGCTCTGTTCATCATCTCATAGTGAAAGTGCTCAGGAGCCAGTCCTACCACCACTGCATTGGGGTCATCAGTGGCCATCCCTGGAAGAGCAAAACATGACTCTGAGCGCAGAGAATTTCATTCACACTTGGCAGCGCACAGTCAACAAATGCAATTAATCACTTTACAGCAAGAACAAGCATTTTCTGACACAGACACATCACATAGACTAGTTTTATGAGGAAAGCGCCTGTGGAAAAGGTGCTGATCTCTAGATCAACTAGATGACCTCTAGGGGTCCCTTCCAACCCAAAACATTCTATGATTCCATGATCTACCCGGATTCTGCCATCCTTCATGATGGACACAACTCTGTGACTGGAGAGTCTTAACAGCGGCTGCTGAACAGGGATTCTCTCACTGCCTCCACTGAAATGCAGCAGAGCGCACAAATCACTTTTTTAACTGAATGACTTTTTGTTATCAAAGAATCTCTTTCTACATATATCCATTTGCTTTGTAAGAGAGTAAAGCAGGAATCATAGAATCATAGAATGTTTTGGGTGGGAAGGGACCCCCAGAGGTCACCCAGCCCAACCCCCCTGCAGGAGCAGGGACACCTTGAACCCCATCAGGTCGCTCACAGCCCCATCCAACCTGGCCTGGAATGTTCCCAGGGATGGGGCCTCCACCACCTCTCTGGGCAACCCCTACCAGGGTTTCACCACCCTCACTGGAAAGAATTTCTTCCTTAGATCCAGTCTAAACCTACCCTGTTTTAGTTTAAAGCCATCCCCCCTTGTCCTGTCCCAGCTGGCCCTACTAAAAAGCTTGTCCCCCCCTTTCCTCTGGGCCCCCTTTAAGCCCTGACCGGCCGCACTCAGCTCTGCCCACAGCCTTCTCTTCTCCAGGCTGAACACCCCCAACTCTCCCAGCCTGGCCCCATAGCAGAGGGGCTCCAGCCCTCGCAGCATTTTAGTAGCCCTCCTCTGGCCCCGCTCCAACAGGTCCATGTCCTCCTTGTGCTGAGGGCTCCCGAGCTGGACGCAGGGCTCCAGGGGAGGTCTCCCCAGAGCTGAGTAGAGGGGCAGAATCCCCTCCCTCGACCTTCTGGCCATGCTTCTCTTGATGCAGCCCAAGTAGGAAGACTAGTGAATTCCATTCCATTCTTCTATTCCCTCTAGTCACAGAAAACTCCACCTTGGGTAAAAAGCCTGACTGTTGTTCTACATATCAGTCTGGTTATGCTGGCAAAGATGGTATTGCAGCACGGGCTAGAAGTTGTTACGCTAAATTAATTTTGGCTCTTCTGGCAGGTCTTTTTTTTAATGTGGATTAGTCGCCTCCAGAACAGCTTGCACCTCCTTTGTCCTGCACCACTCCAGAGGAACATGACTGTTTTTACATGGCAGTGCCACCTCTGAACAGAACCAGCAATGGAAGCAGAGTAGCATCTACAGGAGAAACAGGAGTACCAGAAAGTTTTCTTTAGGACAGGTTGAGTGCCAGCTGCATCCTGCACTTGCTGGGGGTTTTGTTCTGCCTTCACACAGCATATCCTCTACACCTTTACTGGCATAACCAGAGCCCCTGGGTCTCCAGAGAGTGTCATCGCAGCCTGCTGGCTGACATCTCCTGCTGCATGTCCTTCAGTTAGCCCAGGCAGCAAAACGTATGCTGAGAGATGACATGTGGATTTGTGACACCATCCAAAAGCATCTGGGTCCTTTAACCAAGAACAGATTACATTCATCCATCTGTGACCAACTTCATGGAGAGATTAGCCAAGAACAGCTCAGTAGCAGCCATTAACAGGAATTTAAAACATTCTCCATTCTACTTAAATGTTTCAAGAGCAGCACTGAGAGCAAAACCGCTTGTAGCAAAACCAAACCAATCCATTCCAGATCCAAGCAACACAGAAAATGCCACCAATGTACTCCGCTGATACTTCTGTCTTTGCCACCTTCTAAAAAATTAGCGTCAGCTACTGTAAAGCTGATGGATATTAAACTGATTTAACCACCTCTGGTGAAATAGCTGCTGTCTCTGCTGTTTCTGACCCAAGCAAGCCTTCCTGCAAACACAAATACAGAATATTGCTGGGGGCGTATTTCTCTGGATACAACGTTAGGTGGAACAGATTATCAGGTTTCATTGCTCTCACAGCCCACAGAGGCTTTTCTCCTGAACACTTATCTTTCTGAAGATTACCAACGAGACTATGGCACTAAAATTTAACAGGAAATGTCTAGCTCCTAGCAAGATTAGAACCTACTTAAATTACACGGCCATAAGGATTTCAGTTCACAAGGCAAGGGGCAGGGAGCAATGGTAAGGCATCCACATTTTTGCTGCCTTGACCTTAAATGAAATCTTAATATACAATATGCAGTTTTCAACTCTGAGTACGTTAAAAAACATGGGTATCTTCACTACTCTTCAAACAACGATGTGGTTAAGTCAAGGACTAACCGTCCTTAGCTTCAGGCACCTGCCAGGCACGTCTGAGTTAGACTATATCATCTTCTATTCCCCTTATTGTTGAGGGAGGGAAATGGGAACATCCAAAAGTAAAGCAAGTTTTAACCAGGTTTTTAGAGGTGACAATCTAGACAAGTCAGGGCAATGAACCTTCTGTCACCAATTAAGGTATCAAAGTACATGGAGTGAGACCTAGATGGTCAATACAAGGTAAGTAACAATAACTACCTGGAGATTTTACATTTAATAATAATCTATTAAGAGAGAAATAGCCTCCTGCGTGTGCCTACACACTGGCTTTTCAGCTCTTTATGAGCAAAACCTCTGTAAAACAGCTGAGGGAAACCTGATTTCCAACAAACTGATACATCCTTACTCTGAAAAAAATCAGCGCTGGAAGGTGCAATAAATCCACAATGATCTAGTGATATGTATTACTTTTTTTTTTATTTTACACTGAAAATGAATAAAAACTATCGAGTTTTACCCAAATTCCTGACTATTTGAAGGTTTTGGCTGCCACTTCCACTATTCCACAAGAAGCTATGACCTCAGACTGTTTAATGTGAATTTAAAAAGAAGAAAGGGCCTTTGTGGCCCTAGAAAGTTCCATATTTCAGGTTTCGTCACAGCTAGTGGCATATATATACGATTGTCATTCTACAAAACAGAGCACTATGCTTCCTTAGTTGTTCAGTAACTTCCCCCATGCTGTTCTCTCACCACCTCACCTGTGAAATCAGGCAGGGCCTTATCGTCCACCAGGAGGAGAGGCCGCACCTTCCTTTGCTCCAGAAGATTTCTGGCTGCTGTCAGAGAGGTGAAGATCTCATTTTCTGCAATGTCAAATCCCAGTTTCGTCAGCCTCTCCAGCAGGTCTCTCTTGCACTCCTTCGTTGTGTTCGTCACAAATCGAATGGTAACTGGAGCGCTGCGCAGCCTGATGGATAAAGAGCAAAGGCAAATTGGCCACAGCATCCTTCGATGATGGCAAGAATTACAGCTACCAGAACAAGACCAAGTCTCCCCTGCTTTGCTTCTACCAAGAAAAATCTGGAGGAAAACAGCGATTCCAAACCCCATCTTCACAGCAGTAGCAAACACACCTATGATCAACAACAACTAGTCCGAAAAGCCTTTTAATTCAAACCAGATAATAAATAAACCAGCCCCGTATTCTGGATCAACAGCATCCTGATCCAAAATAAATAAACAAAAGAACCTTGTTGCTAAATTAATATATTGAACTCCACAGGCTGGGTGAATTTCACAGCAGCTGTGGCTCATTCAGAGATGCAGGATGCTCTAGGAGCCTACGTTACCTGTGCGGCGATTTTACACCAGCTTTTGCAGCCATCTCTCCCTTTACCGAGGGACACCGATACCACATAAAACCGCATTATTGCCCTACACTGACAATACATGCTACCAAACAATCAAATCATTTTAAGTGATAATTTCAACGGCATTCCCTTTAATTATTCCCCCACTGTCACTGTCTCTGTTTGTTGCTATAGAAACAAACACTGGCATCAGGACTGCACAGAGAACATCACAAAAAAGACCAACTTCAGTTGGTCAACACTGGAGACTTGCTTGCACCTGCCACTTCTTTCTCTTCTTTGTCAGATATGCTCACCCTTCACAAGTATGAACTGGTAAAAAACATCCCCTGGTTGCTAATAAAATAATTTTTTTTTTTTCCTATGGACCTCAATACTGAGAAGTAACCCTAAAAATGGAATCTATCCATCTGTTCCCTAAACAAGCTGCATGCCACTCATTTCAGCCTCTCTTTAGGAAGGACAATGACTTTGACTTGCAGAAAAGAACATGAGAAAATATTTTTTTCAGACCTCTAAGCAAAAAGACCTGGCTGTTCTTGGCACCTGCTCGCCATACCTCTGACAGCAGGTTGAAGCTGACAAACAGTTGGACACGAGAGGGAAGTTTTTCCCAATGAGAACAGTCAACAATTGAAATAATCATCTCCCCAGGGGAGTGGCTGACTCTGCCACATTGGACACTTTTAAGATTCAGCTGGACAGGGTGCTGGGCCATCTTGTCTAGACCGTGCTCTTGCCTAGAAAGGTTGGACCAGATGATCCTTGAGGTCCCTTCCAACCTGGGGTTCTATGATTCTGTGATTCTATGAACAGCACCAAACTGGCTCTGCACCTCATCCCTTATCTAACCCCCTGTACAGGGCCTGCATGAGCACGGCTCAGTAGGAGCAGAAGACAAAGAAGGATCAGTGGCTTTATAAAAGAGTTTGTCTTTTGATTCTACAGAAGCCACTTCTTCTGTCCAGTTTCCTACCTGAGGGTTTGGAGGTGAGTATTAGACAGGACAGATACTGAGCTGTTCTCGACAATATCACCACTTTTACATACATATATAGATGGATTTTTGAGAATGCTGACTCTCACCTGCAGCATGAAACACCATGCAGACCAGGCCCAGTGAATGCATGGGTAATGAATGAGTACCCAATGCTTTAGCAGTTTTTACTTCCTTGCAATTTCACATCTTTAGGAGATCACTATTTTCACAGAATTATTTGTGAAAAGAAATGCATTTTCTGAACCCCTCTGTGAACTTTTCCTCTGAGCAAGTCTGGCTTTATAAAAGTCAAAGCAGCCAATACAACCCCAGTAAAAACTTTTCATCCTTAACTCAACCCTATTCCTCCCTCCTGATTCTTACTGTCTCAACACCTGAAGGTTTCCTCCCTCCCTCATCATGATAGCATACATCACTTTGTGTTCTTCTTCATCCATTGGAGGATGTCTTCTCCAGGAAAACAGTTTCATAACACGGTACAAAGATCCCTGGGGGCGCGTATCCTATTTTGCCACTGACTCGGACAGATTAAGTCATTTTACTATGCCTCAGTTTCTTTAGGCACCCTTGCATCAGAAGAGAAAGGACTTAACTGTCCTGTTTATTAAGGTGTTGAAATTCCTACAGAAGATGGGCTGTATTATCAGATGTTTCTCAAACTAAAAAACTACTGAGGTTGCTTACCTAGCAGAAAGACACTTTAAAAATAATAAAGCAAAGCCTTGGCTGAAAGACTGAATGGCATGAGAACTCCACAAAGGATGCCTTGCTCACTAGGCCAAGTTATTCTCTCTGTTACTCCCCTTTAGCTCACCACAGACCTAAGGGCTCAGTGAATCATGTTCCTGTAAACAAAGCACCAAGGAACAGCCCAGCTGAAGTGACTTTGGTGTACATGGGGTAATTCAGGTTAACTTAACCACTTTCCACATTGGCTAAGGCTGTAGTCCCATATGAGCTGCCGGAAACACTCTGAACGTTGTCTATCTAGAAAAGACTTAGAAAAGACCCAGAGAGCAACTTTGGAAAGCTGCGGGGGCTCAAGTGATACATGGCAACTTTTCAATATCTAGGCCCTTTGCCGATTTCTCTTGGTATTAACTGGGGTGTAAGTAAGAGCAGAAGTTGGCTGCGTACTTCCTTATCCACGGCGGCGTAAATGGGCAGAAGCTTCAGGCCTGTTTACTTAAAGAAGCCTCTTTGTGCAAACAGCGCTGACATAACCTACGAGAGGAAAGCGAATAAAGGGAGCTTGCCTTTTAAGAGCTTCCTGCGCGCCTGGCACAGCTGAGTCTTCAATGTGAAGTGTGCCGCTGAGATCCACCAAGACAGCTTTCAGCGCACGCCGAGCTGCCATCCTTCCTTCCCCAGGGAAAAGGCAAATAAATGAAACAACAAAAAACTGGTTAGCAGACAATGGATAATAAAAATAAGGAACTCAGTTAAGCGCCTCATTTGTGCCAAGCCCGGTATTACTCAGAACATTACTCGCAGTATTAAATGGGCCCCTTTAGACAAGAGAAATAAAAGGCAGTGTTTAAAAAAATACATAATTGATGGGGTGGTATTTTCCCAAAGACTCTATATATGGAAATCAGGTGCTATTTGTTTTTTAAGTGCCTTTATTTGTGCGCGTCAAAAAATTCTCTAAACAACTAAGACTGTTGGGAAGAGGATCATTAGGTCTGGTATTGCTGGTTCAAGGCCTCAGCAAGCACATTTCGGCAAGTCCCATCGACACCGATGGCGCCGTTCAAGTAAAAATAAATACAATACTACTAAGCAATGATACAGCGCTCCGACGATAAAGCTCAAAAAGCTCTGCAAAAGTGGATATTGTTAATTTTATACGGCGATCCAGCCCACAACACAGTTCAGGTGCCCTAACTCTTAGGTTATTCGGTGGTGGACTGCCTGCATGCCAGTATGGATTGAGCCCGGAGCTCTCAGCTCAAGGACATTCAGCACCCCCAAAGGGTTACCCCCTCCTCTGGCAAAGGGGACAGTCAAGCAGTTTTTCTACAGCAAGCTTTTGTGCCACACAGAAGGAGACCCAGACCAAAACAGAAGGCAGCATTCAAAGGGTGAAGGCACTGGAGGAAGAAAACAGTGAGGTCCTGTGCAAGTCATCTGGCTAAAACGTTATCCGCAGGAACTAGCGCTTCTCCTTACACATGCTGCAAGTGCTGCATTTTGCTCCACAAGCAAGTTTGCTGAGCTATTTCTTAGCAATTGTCCAACACAGAAGCTTTTCTCCTGTTTATTAGACAATAACAATGATCTGATCTGTCATCACTAGCACGTCATTGTGATTTTACGTTGAGCCCTTTATGGTTACCGACAGAACATGTAACATGTATGTACTTCTAAAGAACATGCAGAGTCATCAACACCGTGATGTTGAACCTGTCTCAATAAATTTAGTTTTCTGTCAGGACAGTTTTATCAATGATCAAGATCACGTAAACTTGATGTCTCAGGTACAAGACCCCTGCAATAAGAAAAAAAAATACTTTATAGCATGTCTGTTGCTACACAGGCCAAGGTTAAAAGTCTATGATAAAGAGCTGATAACAGAACTCCTAAGGGAGCTTCATCACTTGCATGGGAAAAGAGGGCACCAGGTTTCTAAGATGCCCTTCTCTGAGTAAAATACAAAGTGCCTAAACAGAATGGAATTTGCATGATGCCACACTACCTCCATGACAAAAACCCCTCTCTTCCCTCAGGCACTTCAACTCTAGCACAGGGAATTTTGAGTGCTGAGAGAGATTAAAAAAAGAGGACTGAAGAAGGTGCTATTATATAAATTCTCTAGCCAAAGACACATAACTGCAGAGCAACTGCACCATGCTGGCATGGACAGCACAGCTAAGCGCGGGGATAAAATATCCCAGGTTAGCCGAAATGTGGGGTTCTCCTATTCGCAATGTATTTATTCAGGTGGTTTTGAAGTTACTTGCAGCGCCAGTTTTCAGCATAGCTGATTTTAAGTACAAAGCTCACGGCTTAGCAAGAAAGTCCTGAAAAACTTCAGCACCTCCGTTTTCATAATCACAGCCCAACACATTAGGGGAACCTCACCTTTGTGCTGGCGTTACAGCTGCAGCAACGGGATGAAGCCATAAGGTAATTCAGGCTGGTCAGGACATGAGGGACCACCTGGTTCAACCCCCACCTGGTCCCTGGCAGTCTAGAATCATAGAATCATAGAATGTTTAGGGTTGGAAGGGACCACTAGTGGCCATCTAGTCCAACCCCCCTGCAGGGAGCAGGGACACTGCTAACTAGATCAGGTTGCTCAGAGCCCCATCCAACCTGGCCTTGAATGTTCCCAGGGATGGGGCCTCCACTA